TTTCTAAAATAAAGATATGACTCCACGAAGCAGACACGGTGAGGCCATAGTAAGCATGCTAGCTTTTGTCCTTTCCTGTTCTTGTCTGGTTCTTTGCAAACTGTTGCAAAATATTCAGTCATCAACCTTATACTAGAGTTGTGCTTAGAAGCAAAACCAATTCAGTGTATATTTTGCCTGCAAGCTGGCCTGATCCACACTGCAAAATTGCTGCTGTTACTATGAGGGCAGAGTCCCTTTTGATGTCAGCAGGGTGTATCAAAGCACTTCTGCTAGTTCACATTGTCCTAAGAGGTTGTGTAATTACACAAGGAACTTAATGAACAAAAGCTCTTTGATGCAGCAATGCCAATACTTTTGTTGTCATAACAGCAGCAAAGAAAAGTGAACATTTTCTGCCTGCCACTGACACCAGTGTGCTGGCAGAGCTGCCCAGTTTGGTTGTTTTTTCTCGCAGAGTTGGGGCAGAGTGTCATGTGGAGATGAGGAGATTAACCTCCACCATCTTCCTCTCCTCTGTTAAGACCCTCCATAGATAACAAATACCATTATTTGCAGGGATGCTGTAATGGATAGATGTAATTGTTCTCAACGTGTATTCAGCTTCAGTCTGCTGCTTCTCTCCAGCCTGCTTCAGGCTTCTCCTCAGGAGGTTTACATGCCTGAAAGCCTGAGTGCTTCTTCTCCTGTAGTAGCTGTTCAAATAAGACTTTACATCAAAATGCAAGCCTCGTTTCTCCTATATTTGTCAGACACTGGCTACAACTGCACTGTCACTGGACCCTGTAACTCTCAGAGAAACCTAAAGCTGAGTGTTGCATGGAAAATTATATGACAAAATATTTCACTTCCATGTCAGTTTTTCTGCCCCATGCACTTCAAGAAAGTGTATATGCTCTTTGTATTTTTTTTTACTTTAAAGCATATAATCATGTATGTTGATTCTATTTTTGAAATTTTTTAGTTTTTAAGAGCAGTAGAACATAGTCTCATTAGCAAGGTTTCCTAAAGTTTATACAGCTTTAATTTTTTTCCTGTAAGAAGGACATTCCAACAAAAATTCCATTAATAATTTTTAATAGTATTGTCATGTTAAAAGATAAGCAGGTTTTATTACTTCACCATTAAAATCTGAATTCATTCTTTTACAGAAAATGTAACAGAGACATGGATTGGATTATACAGTTATGACATACCTGTTGTTTTTGAGTGGTCAGATAACACCCCAGGAAAATTCTCTAACTGGCACAGACAAGAACCTAACACCTTTCAAAGGACAGGACAACTCTGTATTTCAGCACAAGGACCTGTAAGTTTTCTTTTTAAAAGAATCAGGCACTTTTGGTTTAGCTCATAATAATTTTGTTTCTTGCTGTGCCTACTTTTTTTAAACCAGGAGCTGGAGTATGACTTGTTCTTTTATTCCTAATGTATTCATGCTATGATAAATGCAGTGCAGCCTTTAGAAACCAATGCATTCTGCAGTGCTGATGCACAGAAAATTAATCACAGATTTTGAACTTATGTTCAATAAAATATATTTCATATATAAAACCTGTCAAATGAAAAAGAGAAAATGTGAGTGAGGTATTTTGATAAAATAATTTAAAATCCAACTAGTATGCATCATAATTTATGATGCATAAGTTCTGGTCTTGAGAGTTTTAAATTCATGTTTTGAGAAACTGTTAGCTGTGCCTCTATTATCTTTGTGTAAACATCTATAAATTTTATGGAGCATCTTTCAAAACCACAGTCGTCTAGGTCTGCATGAAAGTACAGGAATTGACAGCAGGAGATTGATACCATATCAGTCAGGGGCTGTAAAACAGGCAGTAATGTTAAAACAACACTGGCCTGTCTTGTTGGTATTCATGGCACTGTCAATTCTTTTGTAATGTGGTCATGCATTTACTTTACTTTTACAATTAACAGCACTTAAACTCACTACTACATGACTTGCATAAGCAGCACTATAGTTTTCAATTTTTTTTGTGCAAAGTATGTTTTGTCTGAGTGTGAAAACTGTATCAATAGTTTCTGTGGGTCCAGGTTGCAGTCTTTAATACAGGGGAAAGCCAAGACAATTACAATGACTGGGAAAAGTGTGTTCCTGTTGGAAGCAGAAAATAGGACTTTGGAACAGTGTGGGGTTTTAGATTCCAAAGTTATATTTTACTCAGTTTGCAAGTGTAAACGACCCAATGAAAATGTAAAATACAAAGGAAAAGGAGGTTCAAGATAAAAATTTTCAAGCACTGTTTTTGATACATATCCAGTATGTACAGATGTGTGAAAATTGTATGAAAGTTTGTAATATCTTGAGTAAGGACTGTTCAAACACAGAGATTAATCTTAGAAAGAACTGTAATAGCTAGAAAGAAAAGTGCTCTGGTATAGCCATGGTGTTAGTTAATTAAGATGTTTTACATCCTGAATACTGATTCAAAGAGACAAACCCATTTATATGATTGATTAGAGATGTCCTGCTGACAGTGTTGGTAGAAATAAATGGACCAGCTAAGGATAAGTAAATGGAGTGAGGAAAATTAGGGTTGGTTTTTTTTTTTAGTGAAGAATTAAAAGAGGAAGAGACAGTGTGATCTAATGTTTGTTTAGATATGCATGAGAATATGGGCATATACAGAATACATTCTCTTTTATTCCTTAGGAGGGACATTGGAGGATTAAAAACTGTGAAGAAAAATCTTTTTATATCTGCAAAAAAGCAGGGGAATATAATAGTGTCTCTCCTGAACTAGAATCAAGTTGTCCAGAGGTAAGTGGATTTGTGGTTGTTTTAAAACTATACTAATGATGTAGAGTTATATAGATAACCTCTAAATACAGCTACAGAACATATGGATGCAAATAGAGAGATAATTTTAGTTTTTAATATTAAAGACATGCATGTTTTGCTTGGAAAAATCTCATTGTTTGCTTTTAAAGTATGTAAACTAAATTTTAATGCAAGATTAAAAGCCTTGACAAGATGCCTTTCATGGCTTGTTGTTTCATCAGTGATTGTGACCCAAGTTCCTATTTCTTTCTAGATCAAAAGTGAAGCCCTTTTGTCCACCATCTGTGCAAATAATGGCTGTTATATGATGCCTCACCTCACACATGGTTTTCATACATTGAAATGGAATGTCAGGGTGAAAAACAATCCATTTCATTGACATGGAGGGTGAACTCTTCCACTTGTACATTAGAGTTCCATTTGCTTTCAAATAGAAATGGGAAGGAGCACAGCTATCTAACTAGGACATTGCAGCATGTTTTCAGGCATTTAGGAGCTGTGTTCTGCTAGTGAAAGGAAACGTGTCAAAGTATGACTTTATTTGCCATCAGTTTCTTTTCACAGTGTGGAAAGAGGAAGCTTGTTGAATTTCTGTTATATTCAAAACTGTGGAGGAAAAAAAAAAATCTCTTTTCTAAGCTGCTTTATTATTTAGCTCATTGTCTTCCTTTTTTAATTTACTGTCTTGTTTCTTGGGAAATGAAGAAAGAGTCAGTTCAGTCAAATTGTAAGAAGGTTGAAGCTGAACTGTTTGGAGTCAGATGCAGTCTTTCCCCAGATGTAGAGTGTCCAGATCCAGAGTTCCTGTCATACCATTATGGACATTACTGCTTGATTCCAGCTTAACATTTCCAGAAGTTGAGGGTGACTGCCTTTATTTAATTTGGACCAATGTATTTCGTCACTGAAGAATTTTGTGTGCTAATAGTGTGAGAAAGGTCTGTCACAGTCCTGACTAGGTGAAAAATGTGCAGAGCATCAAGGTTTTCTTGACAAGCTGTAGTCAGCAGTTTGACAGCACTTCAGCTTCTCAGTCCTGTGCCCCACAGGACTGAGTCTCAAGGCATTGAGACACTGGTCATAATTATTTTGATCTGCTCTGGTAACTTCTACTCAGGATAAATTTCTGCTTCTTGGTGTTTCACACCCTGTTAGAACATCTGCTGAACCCTCTTACAGTCCCTTGGCTTTGATCCTTTTCTTTCTAATGTGAAAAAAAAGGTGCATTCAGTTAATCAAAAGACTGAGAGAGTGTATTATCTGTTTATTCTGTTGCTTATTTAAAACATTTAATCATAAGACCCAGCAGGTAAGCTGCATGAACTCACACCAGCAGAATTTAGACCAGTCCAGGTGGTGTCTTTTGGACGCCTGGGGGTGAATAGGTTGAAATAAAAGACTAATAATGAGATGAAATGAGGCAGGCTGACCACTGACACGGTGTTCTGGCTCACCTGATAGCCACATTTTCAGTGATCTTGAGAGTAACTGCTCTTCAACCATGGTAGGAAAGAAAAGAAACAGAGGGATGCCAGGGATTATCAGACAGAAGGTACAAAAGGGGAACAAGTTTTTAAACAACTATACAATAATTAATAATCTATAAAATAATGTTCATTTCTTTTAAGGGATGGGAAAGACATGGTGGATATTGTTACAAAATCGACAGTACCCCTCGAAGTTTTGAACATGCTTCCAGTGGTTATTTCTGCCCATCTGCACTTGTATCAGTAACAAACAGGTAGTTAATCCTATTAGAGAGTGTGAAGATGCCTCTAACAAGAGTTACTCTAACTTTATAAAGTGTTGCATGGCAAAAAATATTACCATTGTGAAATAATATTTGCTTGAGATGTGAGCATAATTACTAACATCAGCTAAAATCAATGGTGTGCTTTGCCTTAGTTTATAATTGAAAATAAATTAAGTAAAAAGCAACTGTTAGGCTAATAAACACTTGTAGCAATGTGCACACATGGGCATGCAGAAACCTAAAGAAAATGTGTTCTGCAGGGGTATGTAACATCTTTAAGAAACTTTATTGGTGTACTTGGAAGGTGTACTAAAAAATGAAAAGATATTTATTTTTATAGTGAAAAAATACAAAATTTTAATCCAAATCAATCAATGTTTTAAAAATGTTTCTATTAATGTATTCATTTTATGTGATTTCTCAGCAAATAGGGTAAGGTAGTAAATGTTTGAAAGCAATTGTTGCTGTTTTCCCATGCCTTGTTCTTATTTGCCTCTATTCCAGCTTTAGCAACAGCTTTCTCTGTAGATGTCCAGATGCTTGAGTTTTCTCTGCTCTTTATTATTTACCCTTTATGTTTGCCTTCCATTAAAGTTTGATATACTAATAGATAAATTACATAGATAATGTAAGTGTAGCATATTTATTGTTTAAAAAAAATGAAACCTAATCAACCAAAAAAACCCCAAACCCCAAAATATAAGAAGGAAACGTCTGCCCCCTTTAGACCAGGGGGAGTAATCCCCTGCAATCAGGTAGGAAGGTATTTGAGGGAAACACTGGCTACCCTACATAAGGATTTACATGGATGGGAACTTGCCCTGCCCAGTGGTTTCAGGGCTGTGCAGAGGGGTGTGCAGCACTCAGCTGCAGTGTGACAAAGGTCCCTGCAGGGGGAATAAAGGACAAATTCTTGCAGTTGAGCATTGGCAGCTCAAATGTGGCAGGGAGCTGAGGGCATGCTGCACATCAGTAGAATCATGTCTTCTCTCTTTTTCTGCTTTGTTTTTACTTTTAATTTTTCCACTTCTCAGTGTAGTCAGTTATGATGTTAGTTTCCAGTTCCAGTTAACAGCAGTAGCAAGGAGTAGCAAAAGCATGTTAGTTTAGTGGTTTTGTTTAATTACTGCTGATGTTTGTTGTTCTGGAGTGAAAACTGCAATAACTTCTCAGTTAATGATCCTAAAAGGTTCATTAGATAGTAAGTTGTAGAGGAAGGAGAGTAGACATAAAAAGAGAACACGCAGAGGAAATGAAAATGAAATACAAGTTCTGAGTCACAGTGTTACAGATACATTCAGTTTTTACATTACTGTCATCTTTATATTTAGCCATTCTTTTCAGAATTTCTGTAAAATCAGAAAGTTGAATGAGTTCATCGAAGTGGGAAACTTCTTTCCTGTATAATTTTCATAGTCAGCTGATTGAATGTGCTCATAAACTGAAACATTCTTGTATAATTCTATACCAATTATATCAGAACTAACTGGACTTAAGTGAAAATTGGATTACTATGCACAACAGTTATAACTTGCAAAAAGGCATCTATCTCTCACATAACTTTAGTGAAGAAACCAAAGAAGAAAAAGGTGATTCTATGTAGTCAGTTCACTGGTGTTTTTAGTCCTTCAGATCTGGTTTCTCAGTGCTGGTTTGTGTATCTGCTGGTTTCAGTAGGACACTTCTGTGCAGAGATTTTTCTTTTCTTTCTTCTGGAGCCTTTTCAAACTCCACTAACTTTTTTCCTTCATCAAGGAGTTCCTTGCTTTCATTTGTGTATCATTAATACATTCTGTCTTTACATCTTGTAAGTCAAACACTGAGGTTATATGATCTGGTTCTAGTGTTTCTTTTATGTGCTCAAGTGCTGAAAAAAATTTTGACTTGTGCTACAGACTTGTGCCTCAAGCTCCCTACAGCTTTTTGTAAAGAAAATTAAGTACCTCTGTTTTATTTTTCTCTTCTGAGATAATTTAAATAATGTCATGAGAGCTGTTCATTGAAATACCAATTAACCTATTTTATTCTAAAAACTTTTTTCTTGTTTTTTTTTTATTAAGGTTTGAACAAGCTTTTATCAACAGCATGATCCGCAGCATAGCAGAATCGGAGAGAACTTATTTTTGGATAGGATTGCAAGACCTTAACAACACAGGAGAATACTTTTGGCTAAGTCCAGCAGGAAGGAATCTCTCTGTGAGCTACACAAACTGGAACAAGTACCAGCCACGTGAGTAGCATGTTGCTGACTACAGCAGTGGCTTGGAAATGGAAACTGGGGAGTGTTCTCTCTTCTCCACGGCACCAGTGGCTTAGCAGGGACTAAAGAGAGCCAGTCCTTTTCTTCCCTGCCTGGCCAAGAGAGCAGAGAGATAAATTGGCATCTGCTGCTGGCTCCATAACCTGAGGTTTTCCACAGTCAGGCCCTCCTTACAGACACAGCTAATCCCTGAAATTCTTCTTTTCCCATGAGGTGTTTTTCATACATTCCTTTATGAACTTTAATACATCTGTTGTATATATATTTTCTAAAAAAAACCATCAAAAACCAAACTTGATATTTCCTATGCATTTCTTTATTAACTTTTTAAGGGCTTCCTGAGACTCCCAGAAAAAGGTCCTAGAAAAGTAATGAATTTTATTCAGTAATAGTCACCATTTGAAATTTGCATTTTATACGAAAAATAGGGCAGAGGTTGCCAGATACATTTCTGTGAATATCAGCACTGTGTGGAGGTTTCTTCTTCTTCCCCTTTAGTTTGATTTTGTTTGTTTCACAGTAATTCTAAGGAAAATATTCCAAGGAAACAAAAATTGAAAAAATTAAATAGTTATTCAGCCTTTGAAACATAAACCACTAAGAAATACCTGAAAATAGAGACATTATTATAAAGATATTCCATTTCAATAATGGCTCTCTGATTTAAACTCTTTACATTTATTGCTTTATGACTGCATTTTGCCAAAGTAATGTTTTTAGTTGTATTTCTTCTGCATTTTGTGAGAGGAACTCTGTGTCCTGGTCCATTTTACAAGCTCAAGACAGCCAAGAGAGGCTTATAAATTGGCTGCTGACCAAAGAATTTTCTAGTTTTGTTAGTTCATTAAGATTTTATCCAGAAATTCATGTCAATAAAACAGCCACTTGACCAAAAAAATATCACAAAATTCAGATATTTTGTTCTGATATTCAGCATTTATTCTCATGTCTAGGTCATTCTGGAGGATGTGTAGCTATGAGAGGGAAGCACCCCCTTGGTTACTGGGAGGTGAAAAGCTGTAAGAACTTCAAAGCAATGTCATTGTGCAAGCAAAAAGTCAATTCTTATGAAGAACCAGAACTTACTTTTCAAAAATACTCAAGTTCCTGCTATTTTGGATGGGAGTCAGAACCTAATCTGCTCAGCTGCTATAAGGTACATGTCATACTTGCTTTGAGTTTTTCTGATTCTACAACAACTTAAGGATGTGCTGTTCCTAAAAGATTTTTGATGAGTCGTTATTTCTTCGCTGAACAAACAAAAATTTCCTGTTACCATACTGCACTGCATTTAAAAGTGAGAGAAAGTAATAAGAATCAGAGTTATGCTTGGAACATACTTGGCTTTAGTTTGGAAAAAAATGTGACTAATATTTGATTTTTATGGGTTTCTGAAAAAACTGCTCTGTAAAATGAACTACATTTATGACAATGTTGGTTTTATTGCAGATATTTCACAATGAAAAAGTTCTCATGAGAAGAACATGGGATGAAGCAGAAGCATTATGTCAAGATTTTGGAGCCCATCTTGCTAGTTTCAGCCACATCTATGAAGAGACATTTTTAAACAATCTACTATATACAATTTTTGATAGGTAAATATATTTTTAACACCAACAAGATTTATCTTAATCATACTAATCTACAATTTACATTATTCCATCCTCTTTACTACTGTCCAAAGAAGTCCCTACTCTAACCTGAATTTAAAAATGGGTGAAATGCATCAGCAACATTGCAATGTGGTTCTTTTTGAAGATGATCTTTGTGGTAAATGTTCAGCAGCTGTTATTGTCAAGGTGGTATTTTTGTGAGCAACATTCCTCTTTGAAATGGAGATTCAACAATTTTAATCACATTTTAAGTGTTTTCGTCTTATGAAACATAATCTAACTTTTAGTATGAAAGCAAGCATTTACGTCAAAGACGCTAAAAAGAAATGTATTATAGAATGATATCTTAAATTCAAGAAGAAATTAATATGTGTATTTGTACTATTAAAAATTCTTTCTGAAATCTAAAATCTGGGGAAACAGTGCGTGAGAAATGTTATTTTCTTTGTTTCTTTGTTATAGAACAGAAGAAAGACAGTTCTGGATTGGATTTAATAAAAGAAATGCACTTTCTGGAGGGACGTGGCAGTGGTCTGACAGAACACCTGTAAATATCTGTTTACTCTGTATTTCAGCAATCTTTCAAGTCATATCTGAGCATACATTGAACCAAGGCAAAGGCTTTTGAATGTGGGCAACTCCTGTCAATCATGTCCAAAAGTTATCAGGTTTCAAAATTATTCAGTTCTTTTTATGAAGAAGTCTGATATAAGATGAGTGAGTTGGACAGAACATTGGGAGAACATGACTATGGACCCTGTTATTTGCATTTTTCCATCATAATTTAGGTGATCCTCTAGTTGTTGCTGAGATATTCCTAAGGTACACATGTCTAAGTCCTTCATTTTTCTCCATGATGAGGTTTTTAAGTGCTTCATCTTGGGTTGCCAGTGAAAGAGAATGAATGTGCTGTTTTCAGGTTGTATCTTCGTTTTTGGAGGACAAGTATGTTGAAGATGACTCAAGAAACTGTGGTGTGTTCAAAGTAAACAGAACAGTCTTTCCAGCCCACTGCAATGAAAAGCGTGAATGGATATGCAAAATACCAAAAGGTGAAATGATAATTAACATGCATTGTTTGTTATATCAATTACTTGCAATTCAGTGGAGACAAGGAAAAAAATCTCTAAAAGTCTCCTTTTTAGCCACCTCTGGAGTTCTCACTGGTCTTCTGCATGAAATCATGGCAAAGCCAAATGGGTTATTCCACTTACATTTGTTGTCTAGTTAACAGATCTAATGTGAACAGTCAGTTTAAAAAATATGGTAAAATTACCAGTTACTTAGAAATACTCATTCAAAGTTGTTATTCGTAAAAACTACTGTGAATATTTTTCAGTGAGTATGGCAATTATTTTATTTTATTCCACATTTAATGCCTTTTTATATCCCTGAACAAAAATAGCACTATTCTTAATTATTTTTGGTTTTGTTTGGGTTTATTTGTTTGTTTTTTTCTGCAGGCGTCAAACCAATGAGTCCAGTTTGGTACACAGCTGGTATGAAATATTTTCTTTTTTTCATCTTGAAACAATATAACTTGGAAATACAATTTAAGCTTTTGTTAAGAATAAAATAAGTAAAATATTCTAAGTTGAAAATTTACAGTAAGGATCTCTGTAGGAACTTCTTGTCAGAGATCAAATCTGCCACTGTGGTTTAGGAGCACCAGAGCATCAGATATTGCTCTGGTAGGTTTAAGAAATATTACTAGTAGTAAGGACAGGAGTTTGATAACTGTCCATCATGTTAAAATTGCCCTGCTGTTAAGCCTGGACAACTCTCTTGATATTACTGCAGTCTCAGGGGATAGAGTATTAAGGAAAAAAACCTCACAGTCAATTTTTTGTCACCACAAATTGATATGTTAAATATGGTTCTGCTGTTCCTAGTGGTGTGTTTGTCCTCTGACATGTGGCTGCAGGCAGGCCATGGGGGTAAAAAAAGATGAGACTTGAAATGAGTTTTTTACCCCTGCACAACACTGATTCTTTTGCTTGTTCTCTAGAGCTGCCCTGGTCATATTATCAAGGAGCAGAATATCTTTTCCATGTCAGCCCTGCAGAATGGGAAACCTGTAAGTTTGTCTGTAGCTGGCTTCGTGGTGGATTGGCAATAATAAACGCTTCTGGTGAACAAACCTTTATTCAAAATAAAATAAGGAAGGTAAGAAAAAATACCCCTTTTAAAAAATAAACCCTCAGGTGTTAACTGGCTATTTTCTGTTGTGTCTTTTAGAGAATCTGTCTGCCTGATGTAACAAAGAGCTTTGAAAATGAGAAATAGCTTCACAAGCAGATGAATTCCCAAGAAACTGAGTCTATTTGCTTTCAGGTGTTCTCAGTAAAAGCAAAATAACGAAAATTTTAAAAATTAATGCAAATAATCTGTCTGCCTTACTGAGGACAAAATTCTACAGCTGTAAGGCAAAAGAATATTGTAGTGTAATCTTTAAAGGAACATCTAGTTCTGGGTAGAAAAGCTCTTGACCCACACTTATTGTGTACAGGCCTTCTCTGCCTTCTGTAACTTGTAAGAGAAAGCATAAATAGAATTGTGTTATACTAATATGGGGTCTTTCACTTTCCAAAGAATTATGTTTAATTTTTATCTCCTAGTTGAGTAGTTTTATATTAAAGCATGATGAAATAGATTTAAACCAATAGATCATGACAGAAAAAGCTTATGATGAACAGCAACAGAACTGGCTATGTTGTCTTGTCCTCTTCCACATCTACCAGAGACTGTGATGGGATATAATTACTACATTATCTAACTCTGAATATTTATGACTTAAAAAATTATATAAATCAAAATATCTCTCTCTCTCTCTCTCTATATATATATATATATCCAACTTAGGATCACTAAAAATGGATAATCAAACATGGCTTTAAAGTCATGTTTACCTATATGAGATCTTTTCAAAGTGGATTTATTGTAGAATTAGTGGGTATTTCAAAAGTTTGTGAGCATTCTGCAATGAAAAAGCAAAGTTTAGTCTCTTGACACTGGAAATCAGCTTAAATTCCTAGAAGTTTTGTCTCAGAATACAACATGCACAGCTATTTTAAAGCCTGCTGGGTTTGGCTCAGCATAGCCACGTTTGTCCCTGAGTGATTTCAACTATTTTCCTGTGGAAGTAGGAGTAAGTATAGCAATCACTAAAATAATACTCAGCAGTCCAAATAGACTTTGCATGTGTCATTTGCGAACTTGGTGAAAAATTTCTTAGCATGGAATTTGGAATCATATTTTTCACTATTTCTTTAAAACCTATAATATGTAGGCTGGGTGCTGTGATTAGAAAACTAAACTCAGCAGCCAGGCAATACCAAGTCAGAGAGCATTCCAGAGTCTTCTGTCAGAATGTCTGTTTTCTTCATTTGATATTGCTAAATAAGATGTGAGCTGTAGAAATCCTAACTGTAACTCAAAGGACACAGGCTGGAGTTCAGTCCTTTCTGACAAAAAATAGATGCTTTGAAGACAGAAGGTGGCTTCTCTAGTGTCCTGCACATTCAGAACTTTTTGCTTTTTCTTTTTCCAAAAGCCCCCAAACTGTGACTGAGTGGCTGAACCTGAAGTGAAATCAATTCATACCTTAAGTTAGAATCAACAAAGCAATTACACATGGCTGTTGGAATTGCATTATTTCCATGGCTTTTCAATAATGCTTTGCCTTCTAGAAGCAAAGATCTAGATCCTTTCATGAGAACAGCAATCAATCTGGAAAGCATCTCTAGAAAACTGTGGTATGAACCATACAGAGTTAATAAATCTTCAGAAATCATTTTGGAAACATCAAGGATCAGCGCTGTATTAATGCTTAAAGGAAATACTCGCTATTGTTTAATTTTAGGAATTGGAGAAAACAAATTCTCGTCTAAGATAACAGTCTTTTCAAACCAGATAGGGTGTAAATTCCTAAAACTGTAAATTCCTAGGTTACAGAAGACACATCAGCAATCCTGTGGAAATATGGGAGCTAAATCATGCTCTATTCAAGTGAATAACCTCACTGAAGTTACATGAATTAACATGGGCAGGATTTAGCACCTGTTCTTCCCATTGGAACCCAATGGAGATGCTATTTGAATACACAGTCTGACTTTCGGAGTTTGTTAATGCAATATCTAAATGCATGGCAAAACATTTCTTTTATAGCTGTCGAATAGTGATGTCCACTGGTGGATTGGATTGCACGCAGAAAACCTCAGTGATGAGTTTTGGTAAGAATTCCTGTATGCCACAGCTGCTGTGAGCTGTGCTTGGCATGCCCTGTCCCGGTATGATGGGCCAAAGCAGTTTGGTAACTGAGTGGGATATTCAAGAGACAATTTCAATTTTCGTGTAAATATCATTCAGAATAATATTGCTCTTAGTTTATCTCCACGTTGCAGTATTCCTTCTGACAGGGTTGTAAAAGACATTTGTGTTGACCTTGGCCACAGTGGTTGTTTGTTTACTTTCTCTCCTTTTGAGGGTGTAATTTTAGGTAAGGACAGGAAAATATGAAACTTCATTCTTAATATTTCTGTGCAGCTGGACAGATGAATCACCAGTAACATACCAGAACTGGGATGAAGGGAGGGAAAGAGATCTGCAGAAACCAGGGAAAAGATGTGGCTTCATTTCATCCCAAACAGGTTAGTTTTATATTTCCTTTTGCTGCAGTAATTGTAACTTTATTCTGTTATTGGCAAAAGGTTTATAAATTTTTTTTGTTGCTTTTGAGAAACGCAATGTATATTAAAGTCCTGTTCCATGGTTATCATTTACATGACTGCTTCTGTGATTAAGTAAAGAATAGTGAAATATCATTAACATACTCAGAGACTAGGTTTGTAGGTTTTAAAAGTTTATTAATAGTTTCAGCTCTCTAATGTCAAAATAAAAAGATTCCAGTGATACTGATACCTCAGTTTTAGTTGGGCATTATGTGGAACAGCAATAATGTTAATGCATTGCTGGTATTCACAGATAGTTTTCTCATAAACAAATGACCCACATGGACTTAGCAACAATTTTTCCTACATCTATAAACTTCTTTCCTCTCAGCACATGACTTTAAATACTCAGGTTTCTACCTCGTTTTTGATCCCATAGCCAATCTGCTGAGGGATTTTTGGGTGCCATAATTTTGGTGCTAGCCTTTCAAACATGGCAAAATTCTATATTCTACTAAGGTGTTAAGAAAAAAAGCCACAGTGCTGCTGGCTTAGTGATTTTCTAATTCATCTCACAGTGTCTGTTTCCTGATGATCTGCAAGTCATGTGATAAAGTAAACATGTGAGGTTCCAAGGAAAATAAAAACAGCAAGCTTTGTATTTGTGAGAAGAGCTGAAAAAGATTTATGCAGCTGCAGTCTTGTAATCCCAGCCTCAAAAGTCAAAACTGAAAAAACGTAAAACCTTCTTTTTTCCCACACATAATCTTGGGAGTTTGATTTATGACTTTTGAATGCTTGAGTTTGCTATTGCCATATTTAGTATCAGATAAAAAGAAGAGATGCCCATCCTCCCCCCTCAGCTGGCCAAAAGTGGTGGCTGGCCAAAAATTTGTTGAGTTTCCTGAAAAGTGTGTTTTCCTCCTAAGCAGGTCAGCATTTTTTATCATCACCTGGATCTTGCCAAAAATTTTCAATGTAAGGAAGTCAAACTATTTTATCTGGAAGGCATCTTTTTTCATAATTTATTTTTTAAATATATGATTGTATAGTCATATGTTATGTGACTCAGTGTAGAGAAATTGGTTTTACTTGATAAAATTAAACTGGAAATAAAAGTATGTGCCCATGAACCATCAAATCCACTGTAATGCAGTATGTCCAAATATTCCTAAATATAAATCTCCAATATCTAAGAAAAAAAATCCTTTCCAATTCTCAAACCAGTGCTGAACTGTGATTTTTCTTTTTGCTCAGGGCTCTGGGGTGATGGAAACTGTACTGTTTCTCTTCCCTGTATTTGTAAACGTGAAATTCCAAAGAAGATAGAGAAAGAGATTCCAAAAGACCCGAACCAAGAAGGAGTATGTCCCAAAGGCTGGTTGCACTTTGGATTCAAAGTAAAACCTTCTTTTATGCTGTTTCATTGTTCAAAATGCATTCCATGTGTAGGGCAGAAATTGTATTTAAGGATTACTTAGTATTTGAAGATTTTTTTGCTTTTTGAAAACAGGGCCTTTAGGTTTATAACCACTGACACAGTGACACCAAGATTTATTGCTGTTAAGTAGCTGCCCACACTTTAAGAAGTTGTCTTAACAAGGTGTTAAAAATTTTACTTTAGTTTCAGAGAGGAAATACTCGTATATGCAAAAGCAATGAAATTGTATTTGTGCTTTTGCCATTAAAAGCCTTCTCCATCCTGTCTTGTCCACATATGACAATTCCAAGTGTCTTTTATGATCTCAGGAGAGGTCTCTAACCCCTTGATGTACTAAATGGATCCCTAATTGCTGCTGTCCTCTGAAACATGCTGTTTCAAATGGGTTTCATTAGGGATAATTATAAGCCAAAGTCTATTTGCAATTGAGGGTCAAAAGGTAACTATTTCATCTGGCTTCTCTTAAGTGCCTGAGTTCTTTACAGCAACACGCATTGAGGTGGCTGAATTTATCCCAGTGCTCACTGCAGTGACTGCAAGGATAAATTTAACCTCGATTGATTGCCTTGAAACAACTGCTTTGAGTGCAATCCAGATCACAGCTGAGAACGAATACTGAGGATCCTGGAGGTGCTCTTGGCAGGAGAGAAACCAGTTTAATATTTAATATTCAATAACAGCATGTGAAATGTTTCAGTGATCACTCTTAGTGATTGATAAATGACTGGAGGAAAGCAAAGAAAGTAAGTTTGTTTGTTTGGTTTTGTTTTTTGAAACAGTGCTTTTTAATACAAATTCCAAAGGATCCAGAACATCTGAGAAACTGGTACTCTGCACAAGAATTCTGCAGTAACTATGATGGGTCACTTGCTATCCTAGAAGATGAACTGGAGCAAGGTAGAGTGCTGAAAATGTTGTTAAGTAAATAAAATGTCATCTTCATTAGGATGCTGTAGTAAAGTTAAATCTTGGATACAAATTTAGGAAATAAGATTGTTCAGCTCTTACCCACGGTTCCACTGCTTTAAATACATTAACATTTCTCAGTTTGCCAAAATTTAAAGGTTCGCTGAGATATATGACAGGTACATTTTAAGGAATAATTGTAAATTCTTTTATGCTTACCATGATTTAAAAATACTCCCAAAAATGGAATACCCATTTAAAAATTTGCAATTTAAAATTTCTACCTTATTATCTCATTTTTATCTTTTAGTAGTACTTAAAATCTTATCCATAGTATAGCACCAGGCTGGAAATGTCAGAGAAATGAATGCCAGCACATTTGGAAATATTTATGAACCCTATTCATAAAAAACCTGTAGCTGAATTTCACACACTTGTAAAACCACTTATTTGGATGTGGGAGGAATCTCACTGGCTATGTTTAGTTGAGAAATCTTCAACTAAAATTGAGAAAAGCTTCTTCAATTGGACTGTATTGTGTTTGGGCTGGTATTAATAGCTAATGGACTGTATCTAACCCAATTGAAATTAATCAATTTAACTGAATTTATAGTTAGTTACTAGAAGTGAGTGGCATTTCAGTATCATCTATGTAGCATCATTGATTGGAAATTAACTTTTTCAATGCTTTAGTGTGTTGCAAGAGACTTCATCTATCCCTAAATGCTTACTGGTTTATTTTATTTTGTTTCTGTTTCATTCTCTAGCTTTCATAACAATGAATCTATATGGGTGGAAAACTAGTGTTTGGATAGGTTTCCAGAGTGACGATTATGAAAAACAGTTGAATGAAAATCCTCAAATGTATTCCAACTGGTCACCAGTTGAAGTAGTGGATGTGAGTATTTTCAGGGGGGTTGTGACAAGGAGAAGTTGGTTTTGTCAGTAGAAATCGTGACTTCCATATGACAGGGCCAAAGCTGTTACAGCAGTTTAGGCTGCCCTTAATTTTTGCAACTTCAAAGAACTGTGTGCAGATTTATAGGCACAACTAGAAATAACAAACAAGGCACCATCAAGACAGAAATTCATGTAATTTGTGGCTCTACTCACATTCTCTTGCAGCTGGTTTTAAAAAGCAAAGTTGGAATCATGTGGTTAGTATTAGATGCTTGGTCTGAGCAAAGCTTAGGAACAAGATTATGAATTTCCTACTTTAATACCTTGTTTTGCAACATGTTAGTCCAAATTGGGGTTAGCATTTTGGTTTGTTAACTGAAAGCTTGTGACTTTTAAATTATGAGGTTATTGTTTCAAATTGTATTTATGGGGCTGTTCATTGTTCTACCTAAATATTTGTTACAGAAACTTTGAGGTAATTATTCTCTTGAATTCGATGTCATAATTACACATTGTTTTACATGGTGTATTTTTAAATTAATGTAAGGTTTTGTGTTGATTGCAGAGACAGCATTTTAACATTCAAGATCAACTTCCACTGTGTACATTGGTATCAAATAACCCTAATTTTTATTTTACGGGGAAATGGTACTTAGAAAACTGTCAGAAAAATTATGGGTTTGTCTGCCAAAAGACTCAGGGTAAGGTTTTGTCTTGCTTCTGTTCTCTTTTCTTACTATGTGAAATTCATCTTTGTTTTTTTATCTTTGTATTTTTATTTTTAGAGATACTTTTCATAAGTGTTTCTAAAACAAGGAACATAAAAGATTTATAAGACAGTTTGCAATTTAGACTAGCTCTACACTATTTAATAAATCAGTACTTGGGATGTAGAAGTAATTGCTAAAAAATATTCTGTTATTCTGTTCTTATATTCTGTTGTTTTCCTCCTAACTTCGAGCATTCTGTAGTGTATCTTTGAATTATAAATAGAGATGAAATTTCATATTTTCTCTCATGGCTGCAGAGTAACCACACAAAATTACAAAAGGCTGAACTGAGGGTGATTTTGATGACAGTATGGTTTAGGATGGGGGGTTGTAACTTGTAGTGTTAGATCAGAAGAGACTCTAGGAAATGTGCTTTTCTGAACAGTGTGAACCCTACTGGCTTATTGAATAGAGCTTGGCTTCTCTTTCCTACTACCACACTTCTCTAATTCTGGTACCACAGAGTTCCCTTGCCAGAAGCATGAAGTGTTGGGGAGGAACGTGGTTCTTCGTGTTTCCTCATTCCACCTTCCTTTACTGTGGGGGTGGTTTTGCAGGGCTCAGCTCTATATTATATTATCACCCCTAGATTTAACCCTAAAATAAAGAGACAGCACTCTGTTGCTGCTGCCTGAGGGGCAGGTGGGGAGGCACAGACAGCTGGGAATGAGAACAAGTACCAACTTTGGGCAGTGCTTAGGTGTGACTCAGGCAAAGCATAGCTGGAGTTTACATCATTTATTGGGAACTACAGTTGTGGGAAGGGCTGGAGTGATCCTGTGCACAGTGCAGAAAAAACAAATAAATGTGCTTTCCTGCTGGTTTGTTTAAGTTACATCCCAAACGTTTGTACTTTAACCCCTTGCTGCTGCTTGAGATGGATGGAGAAAGTGTGGAAAGGCAGGAAGGAAAACAGTTGCCTTATGGCGGCTGGGATTCTGGCAAGGATTTGGGCTGCAGTGGGTGCTCAGGATCCTACCCACGTTTCCCAGCTGTGTCACTGAAAATCAGGAATAAAACTCTCCAGCACTGTAATTTCAGTATTAGAAAGCTGCATTACTTTATTTTGGCGCCAGGCGTGCAGGGAATATCTCCTCCTATTCCATGCCCTGCAGCCAGCTAACAGACTAGTTGAAATCTGTGAAACTTATACATATTCATTACACTTCCCCAAACTCATACATATATGCTAAATGTTCCTGTGAATTCTTTTGCATATTTAAATCACTTCTTGGAGCTTATTTACATTAGAGTAGGGGTCTTTTGAGGGTCTCTGGTGGCCATTTGGGGAACATCCCATTCTGCTAATTATCCTTTTTTTGGTCACAGCCCTCCAAAAAAGTTTCCTTTCTTGGAATGAATCCCAGTGGTGTGGGCTGGTCGAGATATACCTTCATATCAGCGTTGCTCAGACCCACAGTCTTTCAGATGACCACTTGCACACGATAACACAGGACTGAGAACTGTCTAAGCTAAAGGAATTCACAAGACTTCAACGCTCTTTGTTACAATGGAAGATTTTCCCAGCAGGGAGGTGAATCTGAGAGTGGCCCAAGGGCCTGGTCGTGGTGCAGCTCAGCCCTGCCCCATGCACAGCAGAGGCCACCTGGGTTAAATGGACCTCTCCAGTGGGACACCCATGGCACTATCCCAAACTATCAGGCAGTTCAGCTTGCTAATTCAGCAGAAGGCTTCCCTATATTTTTTTTCACCTCCTGCTTTATTTATTTATTTTTGTTTAATTAAAGTCATTTTCCACAGCTTTTTTGTGCTGTGTCAGCTTTGTGCAGGGTCAGGCAAACACCAGACCAAGGAATTTGCAGCGGGAAGAGCAGAGAAGCAAGGAAGGGAGTAGTGAGACAGCCTCTTGCTGGCAGTAGTGAACTGCTAAATTTGTTCAAGTGTCCAAACAGATGTGTCAGTTCCTGGAAAGATGAGCTGGTGCTTTTCTTCTGCCATCCTGCCTGCATTCATTCCATTTCCCCTTTTTCAAATTATTTTCTGAAGGAAACTAAAATGAAAGAAAGCAGCAGGGGATTTGAACTGAGCTCTGATCTCTCAGTGATGCTTGACTTATTGTGTGAGTGATTTACAGCATTTTCTGCCTTTTTTAAAGCAGTCACACACACTGAAAGTTGAAACAAATCAGGGTGCTTCAGTTAGCTCAAGAACACAACTTTTTCTTGCTTAGAAATTTCTAATTTTAAATGGTTTGTGAATGACAGGTAATAAATTAATTTACTATTTTAAGATGTTTGTTATCATTCCTCCTCCTCTCTTAGTCATAAAGGGAACCAAGTCTAAAAACATTGTACCCCGTAGCAAAGCAACCACTTCATCTTGTAATCATGCAGGAACTTTACAGTGAGAAATAATTAATGCAAACTGACAAGCAGGATCAAAATTGTAGCATTTTTTGAAGGACACTGGAAGGATTCACACACATTAGCAAAGGCATTTCCCTCCTGTAAGAGAGTGAGTGAAGCAGCATCACAGACTGGGCTGGGGTGAGATGGTCTCTGTCTTCTGCTTTTTTTATCATGGAAGTCTCTCTCTGTCTTAAAGCTAAGAACCCTGCTTCTACCTTTCATTGTTTTGGATGTTGCTGTGTAAATTCATCATCAAAAAGATTTAAGTTACAATGCAGAGAGAATTTCTGTTTAAGTGCCACTCTGATCTTCCCACGTTGGCTCATGGACATTAAAGATGAGCTCAAGAGGCTCCCATGTACTTTGTTAGCCTATTGGCTGTATCACTTATTTGAGGCTAGGTCTTATGATGTAAGCTGATTATGGAAATTATTAATAATAATAGCTCAGTAAAGGGGTAATCTAATTTACATGCAAGGTATCTGGGGATAAAAACACTCTGCAGCCCATTGCTACTGGACATTTGGGATACGCCCAGATCCCAGGTGATTTCTTACTGATCAGTCAGTGGAATTAACCTCATTCAGATTTGGGGGTTTTTTTAATACATTAAACTCAGTCATTCCTGTAATGAGTTTCGTAATAGAATTCCAGATATTGTTCTAGTAGTCATTGTCTTTTTCTTTTTTAAATTTCACAGTGCCTTCCTAAGACCAAGGACTTTGCAATTTTTTAATGTGTTTGTAACGATAGTTCTGATTTTTTTAGGAGCTGCTCAGCTGTGATCAAGTTGCCTGTTTTAAAAATAAGTTCTTTATTTCTGTTTATAACAGACACATCCAGACATGTTATCAATGCATCTGATACGTATCCTGTGCCAGATACTTTAGAATATGGAAACAGAATGTATAAACTAATAAGTGGGAATTTTACATGGTCCTCAGCTTTGCAAGCCTGCATGGCAAACAGTGGGGAGCTGGTGAGCATTACAGACCAGTACCACCAGGCTTTCCTCACAGTCATCGTCCATCGCCTGGGATACAACCACTGGATCGGGCTCTTCACTTCCGACGTACGTACCAGACGCCCCGGCTGGGAGCGCGATGCTGCAAAGGGCATTTCCCAGTAACAAGATCGTGAGCTGTGTCATTGATTTGAAGTCACGGAAAGTTTGCATCTGGAAATGAAACCCTGGAAAATTTGAGCTTTAAATTTACCTTATTTCGGTTTTTTGTGGTTTTGGGTTTTTTCCTTTTAACATAATGTGTAAGTCCAGCGAGAACCAGTTTGGTACAACAACTGCTGAAAATTAAAAGCCATAGGAAACTTTTAAAAACATGGGGGGAAAAAAATCTCTTGTAATGTTGACATTGAAATTTTGTTGTTTCATTTGTAGTAGCCCAATGGCCCAAATAACTGCTTGCTGAAAACAGAAAATAAGATGTAGTTTGTATTCTCCCAAAAGTGAGTTGGGAGGATCCTTGGCTCTGCCTTTTGTTGATCCTTGCTGGGCCTTTAGAAAATTAAGATACTCTGGTGAGGATGCCACCACAAGAAGATTAACTCATGTGGGGCTAAAGTGTATCAGAAAGATAACCAAAATTTGTTTTGGCAGAACGGGCTTAACTTTGAATGGTCAGATGGGACCAGATCTTTGTTTACCTTCTGGGAAGATGACGAGTCCCGGGCCTTTGGCAGCTGTGTTTACATTGATACTTCAGGGCACTGGAAAAGCGCAAATTGTGAACAATTTCTGCAAGGAGCAGTTTGCCATGTGCCACCTAGTAAGTCAGTCAAAGTTTATATTAAATCTTTGCATCTGCAAATGTGTGTGCTGACAGTGGAAATATGTGAAAGGAGGTTAATTGGTTTGAGGTTAAACAATGTTAAGCAAGGCTGACTATTACTTAAAATGGAAGTATATTTCTCTGTGTTTCCTATTTGTGAAACCGTTATTTTCCCAATAAAATATTGAAATCAGGTCTGATCTGTAGGAGAATGGAAAGAGAACTTTCATAATAGAAAAGAAACAGGAAAATTACTCTCTCTCTTCAGTGAACACTATATTATCTGTGAAAAATGAGGTTTGCTAATCACCTAGCTTGAAGGGAAATAAATCCAGTTTGCTGAAATTAACTGTGGGACGGGAGAAGGGAAGCACTTAGAGCAAAGTAAAAAATTAATCATATCTTTGCTGATGAACACATCAAAGATTGTGGATTTTTTTTTTAGTAAAGGTAAGAATATTTTTATGTATCCTAAAATATGTTGTGTTTCCTGCAATGCTCTGTCAGTCACCTGGGCTTTAGTTAAATCCAGGATTCAGGTCTGGAATTGCATTGAGTGCCAGACTGCAGGGTCATTTGACAGCATCCATTTCTTCAAATAGTTCCCATTTAGCAGTGTTGATCACCTCCTCCCCTGATTAGCTCATATCCTCCTCTGCACATCACTATCAGTTAGATTGTCCTGATCCTGCTGTTGTAATCCAGCAAGGTTTTTGGTCAGAAATAAAACCAGCTGTACTCATTTAATATAAATATATGCAACCGCTAGATTTTGACTTTGAAAAAATAGAGGCATAACACAATAAGATGCTTATTAGCATTACTCCAAAACAGTGTGTGGAATGTTATATTTATGTGTATTTTGTTGTGCCAATAAAGCTGTGCTGTTACTTCTATCACAGAAAAGAAACTCAATTCCTATAAAGGCTTATGTTCAGAAAAAACTGTACCCTGGATCAAATTCAAAAACAGTTGCTACAGCTTTTCCACAGTTCTGCAGGGCATGAGTTTTGATACAGCATATGAGGTCTGCAAAAATCAAGGTAAGTGATTATTTTGTAGCTACCAAATGTCATTGTGATATCTTAAATCAATATTTATTTTCTGAAATGACTGAAATCATGGCATATGTTTTCTCTGCTTCAAGATAACAATAGTGGAACTCATAAGCCAACTATGAAATTGGAGGCAGCATGCATCAAAAAAATGTTCCTTTCCTTGTGAAAATACTGGTTTCTCCAATAAAACATGAACATTTTTCTCTTAAAATTTATTCTAAAGTCATTTGAGAATAGTTTTGTATTTGCTTGAGCATTTTCACATTAATTACACATTTAAGAACTTAGAATGTATAACCAGACTTTTCAAGCTCTTCAAGTAAGATTCATAATGTTAACTTTTTTAAATACAATCTTACATTTTAATGCCATGGATTGCTTGAAAATTTGTTCTGTGTTTAATTTGAAGGATCAAATCTTCTGACTATTCAAGATGAAGATGAAAATGCCTTCATTTTGGAGGAGTTACACAGTTTTGGTTATTCTGTACAGATGGTTTGGTTGAACATTCTGCTTGTTACAGACAGTAAGTCTGGGGAAGAATAGAACTGCATGTAAAATCTGGTTTGGGTTTTGGCTATTTTCCAGAAACTGTTTCCAATAACCACTTTTCAAAATGCTTTTATCTTTTGAGATTTTGTTCACTGATTTGTGCCTGTTCATGATGTAGTAAAACCAGTGAGACTTTCTGCAATGGTTACCAGTATTTTGAATAGTCAATATGCATGCATGCATGCATGTAAATGCCTTTTTTCCTTCTTAAAGATTCACCACAGACTGTTTTCTGGGTTAACTATCTAAGATGGTTTTAAATCCTTCAAGAAAAAAAAAAGTAATACAGCGGCCAAATAGACAAAATCCTGGTGTTCTGTAACACTGTATTTTCCATGTGAGGGTAAATCTAACAGAAACAGAAATATTTCTCAAAATACTATTCCATTTTGTAATAATTTTCAACTTCTGCCCATAGATGAGACAATCTCCTGGTTTGATGGTTCTCCATTTAATTATTCTAACTGGGGCATCAGAGAGCCTGAATTTGATCATCTCAAAGGGAATTTCTGCATCAGCTTGAGGACCACAGATGGAGTCTGGCAATTATCTCCATGCAGAGAAAAAATGGGTTTTATATGTAAAATGGATGCAGGTATGTGCCTCTGTAAAAGAAGGCAATTCTGTCCTTACAACATTGTGTTACTTGTTCCTGGTTGCTTGCTCACATGGTATTAATTTTCATTTAATTAATTCCGTCCCTTGGCATTGGAGAAAAAAATACCTCTAAAAGCCCCAGGCACCTGGGGTGAGCTCTGTTTGGGGAGCCTGGGCAGCCACTGCCAAGTGCAGGAGCCTTCCTGTGGCATCAGGGTGACCTGCACAGCCCCAGCTGGGAGGACAGGTCCAGCCTGGGAGAGCTGTGCAGGCACCACAGCAGTAGGAACACTGGTGTCAGAGAGAGCCCAAGTGTTTCCAGAGCCCAAACAAAACCCCTCAGCCACTGCTAGACCCACTAACCTAACTGTTCTGCCTCTGCATGGGTACTGTTCATGAATTTGTACTTTAAAAAGTGGGTAAATACTGCTGCTCATCCTTGCACAAAGGCCAATTAATATATTCCACCAAATTAAAGGGATTTTAAATAACATGCTAGGTTATGTTTAGCTTGGCCAGTTGGAATAACATTGACATGAGTCAAATTAAACAAAGAACAGCCTATTCTTGTTGGTTTTAGGAAGACTGTCTTCTCAGTACCCATTTTAAAGTGAATATACATAATAACCTCTGTGAGTAATTTTGTGACTGTTCTGGGTTTGTTTCAGATATTGATACGACAGAATCCTCTGAAAAAGGTAAACTCTACTTTTTTGTAAGGAATAATACACATTTTGAGCTGATATTTTGTGAGATAATATTTTTCACTGTTAAACCTGTAACTTGAAATGTGTGACATTTAAGGAGTAGTAACATTTTCCTTAAAACAGCTATATGTTTATATTTAGTTAGAATTAATTATAATGGTAGCTATGTTTCCTTAATAACAAGTTCTGTTCTTCCCTTTCAGCATCATACAGTGGGCTTGTAGCTCTGGCTGTTCTTGTGACTTTGGTGATGTTGGCTGCCATTTCCCTTTTCCTGTGGTGCCTGCACAAAGAGAATAACCAACTCTTCCGCAGGATACTGTGGGTCAGAAATGCCTATTTGCCACAGATTAATGCTGACAGTCCTGCTCTGGAAGAAAGCATCCTCATTTCTGACTTTGAGAGAAGTGAGAACAATTAATTAATCAGAAGTAGCAAGTGGTCTTGTCTTCTGTGTGAAACTTCACAACCTCCAGTGGTTTTCTCGTTCTCAGGAGTCCCTCAAGTGCCCATACCCTGAGAAACCCTCATGACCATCAGTATCAATGCAGGAGGAGCTCCCTACCCTGGAGAGCATTTGTGGCAGGAAGAGAGGAGGATGCAAGACAGAGCCATGGAGAAATTTTCTTCTCTGGGTCAAGCCAGGAGCTGGAATTACTCAGAGACCATAAACCTCCAGCCACTCACTTGGAGCAGTCATGTTTGAGGTCCTAGAGCAGAGGGCATTTTCATGCAGCTTTTTCCTTTGGGAATGTTTGAGCCTTTGTGTTTTGTTTTTATACTTTCCAGGACCTGCTTATGAGCTGGCATTAAAATTTGGCTTTGAATTTAGGAACTCTGAAATATATTACAAAGATTATGGGGAAGACTTTTTTGTTTGTTTGTTTTGTTTTGTTTTTTCTTTTTTCTGGCAAAATGAACAGTTATTTTTTTCTGCAAAATGAGCAGTTATTTTTCAGATAATAGATTATTGCCACATTGATTTCCAAGCTTGCAGGAAGATGAAGTCACTCTTGACTTGAGACTGCCAGAATTTTGGTAGTTTGGCTGTGATGCCTAATTCATGTTATAAAATAAATTAGTCTAGAGATATAATGATTTATGTTCTTTTTCATCCTGAACTTATTATATTCGTTTGAGATGCATCCAGCATCCTATTGAAGATTTAGCTATGTCATCTCTCACCTAGATTATTTCAGACATGAAATCCCATCAGCTTTATTAAAAACCTTTTTGGGCAATATCTGTTTGAAGAAAAAAAACCCTTTTATAAATCTTTCTGAAGGTATGGAGCAAATGGCTTTACTGTTCACCTGGAGTGTTGCTGGGAGCAATATTCAGGGACACTATGCTGAGACCTTGCTCTCCAAAGCTAAGGGCTTTGTGGCCTTGGGGGAGCCACACTGCTGTTCCCAAAGAGTTCTAATCCTCCAACCCCATGTAGCAGATGCTTTCCCTTTCAGTGTTTGTACCAAGGTGCTAAGAAAGAAGATGAATTTTGCTGACCCGTTGTTCTGCAGGATGGTTGTGAAGGAGCCAGCTCTCTGCTGTCTCAGTTGCAGCAGCCCAGGACAGAAATGTTTACTGTCCCTGGGATTCCCACCACCCCAACCTGTCCTCCACCCATCTCTCCAAAAACACCTGGGAGCTTTTCAGGGATTTTATTTTTTATTTTTATTGCACAGTGGAAAAACAAAAGTTTAGTGATGGTTACTTCACAGTGGATTTAGTGTAATTTCCACCATCTCTAAAAGCTGCTGCAATGGGCTGCATTTGTTGTTTTGCTTCTCAGTTTCCTTGTTTTAAGGTGACTCATTCTAAAAATTTTGCAGGAACCCTGAGATGGAGGTATGTTCCTCAGACTTAAGCAAGCAGCTAAGGCAAACTGAAATGTTTTCATACAATATTTTTGCACATGCACAGGAATGTATGACTGCCTTTTAGTCAGATTTCACATGGCCAAAAATTGTCTGTTCGTGCCATAATTTTGTTTAGAGCTATTTTTTAAAATTATTTCGTTCATAGAATATTTCTGTGCTGGTTAACAGAACTGGTTTACTCTTTTTGATGACTTTTAAAGTTGTAGCTATCACAAGTCTTAATCTGAAATTTTTATATCATATAAAATATAAATAGCTTTTCTGTGTACATTCTGCCTACCAGTTTGACCCCATACATTAGTCTTCAGTAAAATTTTTTAAGTTTTGGTTTAGTCCTCTATATTTATCTATTGGACTGTTTTTATTTGCAGTCCACTATTAGAGTTTGTGGACTGCAACTTTTGAGTAAAATTGCCAGATAATCTGTTGTTTATATGTATTAACTGTGATAGCTTTTTACTGCCAAAAGAAAAGAAAAAAGAGCTTATGACCTCTTCTTTCTCCATGACTGTTTTACCTATAAAAACTACAGCTAGAGGGACTTAAACCAACAAACTCCATTCATCACATTCACTGAGAAATGTATAAATGTTGCTTTCTTACATTATAGCATGCAGGGTGATTTTTTTTGCAAGAGTAAGCTGTGTCATCTCTGAGGACAAGTATTTATCAGGCTACAATGCTGTTGATAGTTATACAGACTCTGTTAAGATTTTGATGTGGTTAATGAGGTTGCATTTTTTCACAAAACTGGACATAGATGTTTTATCAATTTCCCTTGAGGTATGTTTTATTCCTAAAAAAGTACCTGAAGGGTAATGGCATAATCAGTAAATCTAACCTCAGAATAGTGATTGTTGATTAATGTTGATGTAGATGAACTTGTGTTAAAGAAAAAAAAAAAAGTTCAAGCAGTGTTTTTTTCCTACTTTAAAATAGTTTTGAAGGAGCAGATCTTTAGATATTTATTTTTAAATCTTTCATCATTTAACTTTTTGTAACTGCATATATTATTCACTCAAGAATGTAATCAATGATTGCTTTCTAGTCTTCCTTCTAGATTTTGTTATCAATGGCTTTCAATCGTTTTCCCTTAATCAGAGGTCTCCTATAGTATCCCTGATCAGAGTATGTGGTAACTGTGTTTTTACTGCTGACCTTGATGACATTGGTGAGAGTCACTGTATTATTTCAACTGGAAAATTAAAGTAAGTGTCCGTGCTGTAATTTTTCTTGAATCTTTCCCCAGCTCTACTGAAAAGAGAGGCTCTACTGTCTCATAAGAGCAGTGCCCAGGCTTTGCACTGGCTCATCCTGTGTGATGGCTCCAGCCTCCTTTCAGGCTGTGTGACTGGACCTCACCTGGGCACTGCACACGATCTCCACACACAGGGTGGCCTGAGCATTTCCCAGGGCACGGATGTGGATGCCCCAGAACGTGTTTGCAAGAGGTGCTGGAAGGAGGTGGGAGCCAGAGCACTAACAGTAAGCATGGTGGATGGAATCATGGCATTAATTTACAGATACTCTCCCAGCCTATTCCCTGCAGTAGTGAGCTGAGGCCACCAGGAATGAGTGATGGGTTGGAGGAATTTTCCTGCTGAACTGTGGAGGGTGTGTTGTGTGAGAGCCTATTTGTAGCTGCCACAAATGAGGTAGAGATGTATGGACTGCAGCACAGCAGCTTCCATGGATAACACTGACATGCTTTGTGTGTTCAAGGACTGGGTTCAACAGGGCCTGAATGGGTGAGTGAATGTTGTGGCTTTTTGCCATGTTAGCTTCTTTCAATGTTCCTGCCCAAAGAGAAATTTTAATCTTTTCATACCAATCTTTCTTGGGTGATGGAAGGGTATCCCCACCAGAGGCAGGTAAATTCAGGTCAACATGACAAGCTTTGTCTGCCAGATATTGGGGTTTGTCAAAACTCCATCTTGCTTGTCTTTGCAGATGCCATTCCAGACGAAAATTTACCTCCTGGTCCTTTTAGCAATCCTTGCAGCAGGTCTCTGAGGAAAAGAGATGTTCAATGCAGCTGGTGGACACAAGTCCGTGACAGGAACATTTGTATGCTGGAGATGCCCAGCATGACCAGACACAGCAAAGGGTTGTTGTGGCACAGGGTTTTAAGTGGGCAGCATGACTCCTCAGCAATGTCCTTTCTGGCTGTGCCTCTCCTGGGCACTGCCCTTCCTTGTGCAGGGATCCTCCTCCCTTCTGCTCACACACACCCTTCTGCAGCTGGGGCATGACAAAGGAGCCATGGGCTGTTTGAAATCTGTGCTGTTCAGTCCAGAGGGACCACAGCGAAAAAACAGGGGTTTGCAGGCTCTCTGACACTTGACCAGCTCTGGTTCCCAAAGCACCATTGCATAAATTCCCATTTAATTTAACCCTCTGCTTTTTTTCTTTCATCATGTTACCCCTCCCTCAGTGTAGGAACAGGCATCCTCAGTCTCTTCTAATAATAAACCCACTGAAATGAAAACCATGACATACACTTCCTCCAGAATTTCCCTCCAGGGAATTTACTTGGTTAAAAGCTAAATTGCAGATATTTAGCAACTGGGCTCTAAATCCTCAGCTAAAAAAAAAAAACAAAAACCCAAAAACCAACAAAAAACAAATCCACAAAAAAAAATAGAGGCCTTTACTTGAGCTATGATAGTATTATAATATTTCCTTTGGCAACCGGTGGAATGTGGGGTTTAACCCCCTGCAGGCCAGCAGTGATGTATTACAATCTGGTGCAGCCCTAATGCAGACGTGTGAGGAAGCATCAGGAGCAAACCCACAGGCATCCTTGCTGTTCTGAGATGGAATGAGTGAAGGTGGATCGTGGTGCTTGGCAGCACAGTCAGTCTCGGTTTGGCCAGCAGATGGTAGTGGTGCACAGAGAGCTGACAAAATGAGCCGAGCAGAAGAAAATAGCGCAGGGATCTGCTCCAGTTATTATTGGAAGTTTATTTAAACAAGCAGCAAAACTCCCAAGTCACAGGACAGCAAATAACAGTGTGGGATCTGAGCCCTGGCCACAACCCTGCAGAACTCTGTTTAGAGCAGCTTTCTAAGCCTCAGTGTTCCTCCTCAACTACTTCAATGGGATGCATTGAAGTGCCCAGAGAGGGATAATTCAAGTCCTTACATTGTTCTGTGGGCTTTTCATTTCTACGGTGAGTACAGTGAAAATCCACTCGGGATCCTAAGTAATAAATAAGCATATCTTTGTGGTATATTTTGATTTCATGAAAAGGCAACTCACTGAAAATGCTTCAGCCATGTATCTCTCTGGATTTATTTTAATATTTTATTTCTTGACTGCATCAGTACAGGCATTTGCTTACTGCTTTTCAGGGAAAATTAAAAATTAAGACGTAGAAATGACTGCATAAGTAATCACTGCACTGCACTGTTGAAAGTAGATTTATTTTCTCCCAACTTATTCTCTAAGTAGCCCAAAGTTTAAGAGTTCCTGATCCCTTTCTATATCCATTATCTTTATGCAGGATGACCATGATTTGCATTCAGATCTTAAAAACTTCACCATAAAAAAGGGCCCTGAGGATAATTTTGTAATAAAGCCTCACTTCAAAGCCTTACAAAGTTCTTACAATCTTATTTCCTTACACTGCAGCTTTCCCAAGACTTTACCAGTCCTTCTGTGATAACCACCTGCATTTGAATAAGGAAGTGTACTAGACCCAGCCTCCAGTACTTATGAGTACCACCATGGCAATTTATAACCATGGAATTGATTCTCAACTGTAATTGTTCCCAAAAGTGCACAGCTAGAAAACAGCAAAAATTCTCTACCTTATCTCCTTCTTTATCCTACCTTCTCCTACCTTATCCTGCTTTTTTCTCAACCTCAGCCTAAAGACAAAATTTCTACTGTTTCTCAGAAAAAAAAATGCTTGAAAACATTTTCTTTTAGTGAGCACAACAGCTAAACTTGTAGATACAAAATAAATCTTGAAATGCAGAGTGGGCTAAAAGTTCCTCTCCTCTGCATGTTAGCAAAGGCAAACAGGGCAGTCTGTCTTTCTGAACCATGCACAGAAAGGCACAAAACTAACAGCCTGCTACGTACAGAGGTAGCAGTGCAGCAGCAGTGGCTGTCACTGGGTGCATGACAGCCATCCAACACCACTGTATGGTCCAGGAGAATGCAATAGCTGGGTCAGTGTCTCATAAAACATGGGAGAACAATATTATCCCTGGATTTTTTCAGATTTTTATAGATGGATGCTCATCTTCAGAAATGAAAAGTTTCCATTTATTTTGTACAATTTTTTTTTTTTTTAACTTAATTCTGAAATCCCATCAAATACGTTCCTCTTCTGCAGCTATTTATTCAGGCCATTTGTTCTAAAGTGTGATCTCAGGCCTTTGATCTCAGCCATAACCTGATTAAATCTGTTTTGCCACTTCTTTCTGCCATAAACCTTGTGTGCATTGTAGATAAGAAGCCCCTGGAAAGTCCCCACAGAGTTGAGAACAGGCAGACTCCACCTCCTCAGCAGCTTTGGGCTGCGTTGCTTCACTGATGCTGGATTTGGGATCCCATCTCAGAGCTTGATGCTTCCAGGTTCATTGAAGAATGCAAACAGAGTCCCTGACATTGGACATTGCCAATGAGCTGGAGTACACAGACTCTTAATGCAAAGTAAAAGGGTACTCTAAGTCATGTAAGGCTTCACTTGTTATGGTCCCAATCCAAATCTTCTTTGTGTGTATTAGTTTCTTTTGGTAAGTTACTCTTCATGCTAGCAGGCTTGCTTACCTGTTATGTACCTGAAATCTGAGAACTATCTAAAGGCTTACCTGACCTAGGCATGGTACTTCTGGTATTTAATATTCAAGAATAACAGAAGGATTCTTTCTGAAAAGGTAAAAAGGTAAAATTTCTGCTGCTGCATATCATGCCCTGTTAGTCTTGTGGGATGAAAATTGAATTACTTTAATTAATGTTTCAAAAGCAAATCTTAAAGATGGAATTATATGTATTGGATACATTGTGGCTCTAAGAGACATGAGCTACATTCAGTTAAATGTAGAAATGCATCCGATCAGCTCTGTGAGGCTTTCTATCTGGAAAGAACAGGTATTTAGAATACCTACAGAAACAGTGGCTACTTTACCCTTTAAAATAATTGTAGTATAAATAGCAGAGTGGCTGTTCCCCTCTCACCATATCCAGGAGCACAGCTGACGTAGCCTTTATCCCTGCAGGCTCCTGTACCAGTCTTCCAGAATCTAGTCTGGATTGAGGATATGGTATTTCATTATTGTTATTTATATGTAAATTTGCTTAATTCTTGTCTGATTGAAAGAATGTGAAGTTGAAGTTGGGTGAGTCTCAGCTGCTCTTACAGGTTGTTCAACCACTTGTTCTGATGTAGCACAGAGCCAACCCTCAAGGAAGGAAAGATCAAAGGAAGAGCCATTCATTGGTGGAAGCAAAAGTATAAAGAGAACAGGTAACAGTTATTCCTGTTATTTGGGAAAACTAGAACAAAAATTAAGTGACTGAACTGCAGCAGGAAATACTTGATAAGTAACTGTGGGGATAGCTGGGCTGAAAATAATCAGCCAATGCAAGTGGTAGGGTCAGTATGCACTGTTACATTCAATAACTGTGATTTAGAAATAAACAAATCAATCTACCACAGCTGCTGGGGGTTTGATTCACAGCACTGCTGGATGTCTCTTTCAGGTCACCCTGGGTAAAAATGAGTAAGCCTGACCTGAAAATACTGGTGTGTCTATGTTTGTGGGACTGCTGATGCATCATCCCAAACCTACCTTCCAGTTTCCTGACCCACACAAGTATTCAGCAGCTAGAATTCAGGATCTCTGGGCACAAATTCCATGCAATTGGGACATAAGAAACACCTTCACTTAAATTTGTGTTTTTCTTCTGGATAGAAGAAGTTGTTCCAGAATTGGTGAAGCTGAATCATATAATTCATCTATTACAGGAGCTAGTGGGACACAGGCACCTGACTTGCCCTGGGTTCCTAAAATCCAAATCCAGGGTAAAGGATGTGAAGGTCCAGAATCACTACATAAAGAGCACAAAAATAGAAGGATGTATGTAAAAAATAAGAACACTTTGTTTATGCTTTTATTTCTTTGGCACTTTTTTGGGGTTGGTTTTTTGTTTTGTTTTGTTTTTGATTTAGCCCTTGAAGTCACAGACCCATGTGATGGGATGCCTGATGACCTCTTTACTCAGGCTGTACTTTGAGACTGTTTCTGTGATGCATTTTTGGGTGGTCCAGTTGCCTTAATGAGTCTGGAGCTGGACCTCAGGTTGAGAAAACCCGTGGGGAGAAGCAGCAGTCCACCCCGCTATGCAGGAGGCAGCAATGTCGCAAACTCCCCTTTCTTCCCCTTGTGTAACATGGTACTGGAAACATCAACTTCCTGCACAACAACTGCCTGCTTCAAAGCACTGAGATTTGACTGACTGACAGGACAGCTTTTGGCAGGCTTACAAATATCTGTTCCTAGCTCCATGTGGATCTGCTGAAGTAGATCTGTGTCCAAATCTGGTTCAAGAGCTGTGGGATAGACTGCAAAGCCCATGACGCTTAAAACAAAGCCATAAGCTATGGGAAAGGGCAGGAATGGTTGACCCCAGTTCTACCAGGATCATAAAACCATAAAAAAATTTCCTTTATAAAATTTGATACATTTAATTCATTTAGATAACAACAGCAAGATGAAGAAAATTATTTCTGATATGGACATTCTTCAGTCTTTCTGAAAAAAATATATGAACAGAGCCCTAACACAGTTTGGAGGTTTTCTGTCTCCCTCTGGGGACAGAGGAATGCTCTGGGATGCTGAAAAAAGCTGGAAACCTCACACTGGAGCATGTTCCCAAATATAAGGACACCCAGTACAGATGCAAAACTTAACCGAAGGTGCACAGTGCTATGTCAGGGCCAGTGTTTATTGGTTTTATGATTGTATTTTTAAGTAGTCATTCTTTTGATCCATGCTCACTGCTGGTCAGGGTAAGAAAAATAAAGCTTACACAGAAAATAACAAAATTTTCTGGCTGGAGGCCAAAACTTCACAAAAGAATACTGAAGCCTAATATGTTTTGTTTGACATCTTTGTTTCTGGTAGATGTTGACTGAATTCAGGAGGATGACGGCACTTTGAACAAAACCAGCTGGGGAAGTCAGTTTGCTAAATATTAACCCTCTAGGGAAGATACTGGGTTGGAAACGTGCATTCCAGACATTCTGGGAAAATATAAAACCTAATGTAGATCTCTTTGGAAAAGAAATACTTTACACTGTGGTTTGTATTTTTAGGAGGAAGGGAGGAGACAGCTTGTGATATACAGCTGAATTTCTCAAGATGGGTAATAATGCAGTCTCAGATGTCTTTTCTCCCCTTAGTAAGATTCAACTGTTCTGAGACTGAAGTGAATCTAATATTTAGAAATTACTATAGGGAATGAGGAGAGATTGTACATTTACTGTGATAGAAATCATTAGGGACAGGGCAAAAAGCCTGTTGTCAGCCTCTTGACCATTTTTCAACAAGAGAAAAGGGGGGGGGTTTCAAAACTGTTAAACAGAAAAAAGTGTCAACTTCATACTGTGAAGTCATGTGAACTCGTATTATTCAGAAGCTACTGCGATAAATATTCAGTACCCAAATTTAAAAATATAAATCCCAAAATGTACGAATAAAAGCATAATAGTCTTAAACAGTAGGCTCTGCAGTGACATATTTTCATCTCATTCTACCCAGATGCTCTAATCCTTCCTCTGTAGTCTGGCCAGAGAGATGGCTGTATTGAAAGTACAGGGGATTTTTTCCCTCCGTTTCAGGCGTTTTAGGAGTTAAAGAGTTAAATACGAGCACTACACCAAAATTCAGTGCTGCTCAGTGTTTAACTAGTGCCAGTCTTAGCTAAAACTATTGCACGAAATAGAAACAGAAAAAGAGAATAAGGGGGGGAGGGGGTGGAATCCTGGTAGGAAAAAAAACCTACCAAAGATCAAAGATGAAAAGAAATTTAGGAACAATTTTTACAATTTGCTTAACATTGGAGCTATTTTCCTGCTTGACACCTTGGTTGCAGCACAGAGACATCGGCTGTTACAAGTGTCAAAACAGGTATAGTAGAATGTGTTATTGTTTAAAACAAATAGGTCATATGGGATGCTGAACTGATTTTGTTTTCTTCCACATAGTTCCATGTGATGCCATTAGGTGTCAGATTGTTAAAGAAATACCTTAGTGTTAGACAAGCTTTTTAAAATTTAACTGCTTGACAATTTAACATCAGAACCGTGCATTTTTTTTTTGCCTTTTTAATGCTCTAGATGGTATTACATGCCTAGGTAAAGTGCTAGTAGAGAGTTACTAGACAGCGAAGTACTTTCTAAACTTGTTCATTCTCTGACTATTTGCAACTCTCTTTAGTTTTTTTGATTTTCCCCTTCATATAGCCATACTGATGATTCCAAATCATCTCCATGTCCTTAATTTTTTGAAATAATTTCCAGCATGATTTCTTCCAGAACCTCTCTGGATATTGAGACGAGGATTACTGGCCTGTAGCTCTCCACATCCTCCCTCTTCTCCTTGAAGCAAGATATGGCATCTGCATTGAATTTCTAATCCTCCTCTGATCACTGTGACCTTATGACCAAACATACCTGAGACTGGCCTTGCAATGACATCTGCCAGCTCCTTCAGCACTTGTGGACGCAGCTCACTGGGTCCCACAGATTTGTTTGTGTCCAGTTTGTTTAAATGTTTTCATCTACTCTACGAGGGTAAGCCTGCATTGCTCCAGATGCTCCCACTGGTCTCAGGGGCCTGGGATTTTTGAAAACAAACCCTGCTTATACAGACAGGTGAAGAAGGCATCGAATATCTCTTGTCTGCATTCCGTGTTACCACAACCCCACTCAGCAGCAGGCTCATGTTTTCTCTAGTCTCCCTTTTTCTGTCAATACACTTGCAGGAATCCAGACAGTTACTAAAATATAATCAAAGCTATTCAGCTCCTCACTGTTCTCTAAACTGTCAATGAACTGGTGCCCCAGGAAAGTTGTTCCCAGACAGTGAAAGAGAAAATGCTGTTGTCCCTTTTTTAAAAAGTACACAACAGTTCGAGCACATTTGCTATAAGAAAATCAAATGCAATCCCTTTTTCTGAATCTGAATCTGAATCCACATTGATCCAGATTAATTCAATAACTACCAAGCTAAACTAAGTGCTCAGTGTTTCCTTTTGGAGCTGACGCACCTCATTCAAAGCACTGAAATATTTACTAGAGCACAAAGTGAAATTTATGTATCCCTATTCTGTTTCCCCACAAAAAGTACTGCTACTGGAGGAGTACAGTCTCACTCATGTTCTTATTGTGAACTGTTGAATATTTACTTCTTGGTATAAAGTCCAGCAGCTGGACTATGTCCCCTTTACAAACCTAGCCCTTGAGCTGACAACCTGAAGTCTTCAGAGAGACAGAGTGCTAGAAGTATATTGATTTTTAACTTCAGCTCAGGCACAATTATGGAATGCAATTGAGATCCTACCTTAAAAATAGGATGATCCAAGCACTAACTTCAGAAGTGAATCCTTATGGCAAGAATAACCATATTTGTTAAACCTAGTATTTATCTTTAACCTTTACTCCCACACACTTCTATAACCACAAGCCCTGCCAGACAGGATGTGAGAGATATGGCAAATTAGGAACGAGCAAAAGGGAACCCAAGAGTCTTGACTTTAAAAGCAAAGGTTAGGGGAGATTCCAAGTCAGAGTATATTTTATTATTCTAACAAAACAAGTTTAAACACAAGTGTTGGACATGAAAACAAAGTATGAGCAAACACAAATAGTGCTAGAGATCACTTTGCCTTCAATTAGATTATTTTTATAAACAATACCATGGATCTAGTGAGATGTCATTGCAAGGCCAATCTCAGGTATGTTTGGTCACAAGGTCACAGTGATCAGAGGAGGACTAGAAATTCAATGCAGATGCCATATCTTGCTTCAAGGAGAAGAGGGAGGATGTGGAGAGCTACAGGCCAGTAATCCTCGTCTCAATATCCAGAGAGGTTCTGGAAGAAATCATGCTGGAAATTATTTCAAAAAATTAAGGACACGGAGATGATTTGGAATCATCAGTATGGATATATGAAGGGGAAAATTATGCCTGATCAAGCTGATAGCTTCCTGTGATTAAATGGCTAGTTTGGTGGACAAGGAGAGAGCAGAGGATGTTAATTGTCTTAACTTCAGAAAGGCTTTCATCACTGGCTGTATCCTCATTAACCAGCTGCTGACTAGGTAAGTAGATAGTGAAGTAGATTGAAAACATACTGAAATGCCAGGCTCAAGAGATTATAATCAGTGGTGCAAAATCTAGTGGAGGCCAGTCACTAATGGTGTACTCTTGAGGTCAATACTGTGGCCAATACTGTTGAACACCCTCATAATGATCCTGGATGATAGAACAAGTGCACCTTCAGCAAGTTTTCAGACACTTGAAGACTGGGAGGTGTGGCTGATACACCAGATGCTTATGCTTCTGTTCAGAGGGACCTTGACAAGCTGGATGGATCAGCTGAGAGGAATCTCATGGAATTTAACAAAGGGAAATGCCAAATCCTGCACCTGTTGAGTAATGTCCCCACACACATTACTGGGTGCTAAGGACCAACTGGCTGGGAAGTAGCTTTACATGAAAGAATCTGGGAGCCCTGGTGAACACCAGCTTGAACATGTGCCAGCAATGTGCTTTGTCCTTGTGGCACAGCTGGCCAACAATATCCTGGGCTGCATTAGGAGCACTGACAGTAGGTTTAGGCAGGTGATAATTTCCCCCTAGTTGGCATTAAGACACATCTGGAGTGCTCGATCTAGTTCTGGAGTTCCCAATGTAGGAAAAAATATGGTTTCACTGGACTGAATCCAGCAAAAAGCCATGAAGATTATTCTGGGACTGGAGTGCTTGTGGTATGAGGAGTGGCTGAGAGCTGGAGGAGAGAAGCCTCAGGGAGATCTTATCAATGTATCTAAATATCTAAAGTAAATATCTAG